GGTGTTAAGGTAACAAAGTTTCTAGATCTCTCAATTCAAACCTCGAATGGAATGTACATATAACGGAATTAAGTTCTAATGTTACGCATTCAGAATTCTATCAAATTTTGTCAGCGTTCATGCAGCTTGTTGCGTGCATCTAGCAAATGTGTATTCCCGCCGGAGATATGGCATAATAGCTCATCATGTAGCACCCAGACCTTTAGATTGCAAAAGGGAATTTTTCGAACAATGAAAAAATGCCATCCGCATGATCTGTTGCAAGCACCCCTTCTTTGAGCTTGGAATCTTACCATTATCTTCTCTATTTTTTACGAATCTGTAATATTTGTCAAAACTGGCTTACTTAACGGTGGGAACATATTTTCATGCAATACTGATATTTATAATTACAACACACGTCGTAGAAATCACTTTCGTCAAGTGTCAGAATCAAGAACTATCTGATATCCACATACAATACATGTACGTTACTTTTCAACGCATTGCCAGATGACATTAAACAATTGAAGTCGGTACACAAATTTAAGTTAAAAGTAAAATAGTTTCTGCTGCAAAACTTCCTATACAGTTAGAGACTATACTGATCATCTAAAAGGAAAATAATGTTTAATTTAACAAAGTGATATATAATGAATTAATTTACATTTGTATTTATTTATTTTTAAAACATTCTTGTAACAAATAATGCACATACTTCAGCTTCCGGGTAAAATGACCCCTATCTCGATCAGATTTTGGTCCACTTTCCCTGATCCATTGAGCAAATGCTGAGATGGCCCCCTTGTTTCGCTTCTGGGCGTAAGTTTAGCTTTACTGTGGGAACATTTTGTTGAACTCACCTGTTGCTTGTAATGGTAAAAGTTGAGGTAAGGGCCAGTTACTACTTTATTAGCAATGAAGAAAAATCATACTTGTAATTCGTTTACCGATGCAAATAAGTTTTCTATAACTCGAGAACGAAAATGTCTATTTTTTTTCAAATATTGCTAATCTCACGCTTTTTTAAAATTTATTTTGATTTATTTCTTTTAAAATTTTACTCTTCATTCAACTATTTATAGTCCAAATGACGGGAATGGATTCTGGAACTCAAGAACCGTGCGCAGATGATCTCTCCCGTCCCCATATGTCACAAACAGTTTTTACTCTTTGTTGTTGTTGTTTTGTTTTTTTTCTAAATAAATCTAAATCCACTTGTCTGTGGCTAGAGGAAAATGTTTACCTTTGCCATCGCGTCTCCGCCAATACTAAAAGAGCATTGGCAACGCTTGTGGATTTAAAGAAAAAGAGAGGGGAGCCAGGAGAAGGTGCCAGGGCTCGTAAAAGCACAGAGGCTCCCACGCGGGCAAGTGCTCATGCGGGTGCAGTTTGACGAGCTTGCAAAGTACGTTCTACTCCGTGATCCTCGGGAAAAATACGTTCAGTCAGTACTACCAATTGTTTAACAGTTTTCAATCTACTACTTTCAAGGGACTATGAATCATCTCTAACGGACACTATAATGAAGAAAAATTAGGAGCAAAATTATAAATACATTCTTTTAAACCTTAATACAGTTGTTTCAGCAGCACTTTTTTTGTACTTTTTTACAGTTTTAAAATCTTTTCCCCTTCTTACAACCATAATTTGTACCTTAAAACCTTTCTCATTATTATTATTATTATTATTATTATTATTATTATTATTAT